TTGAGTGGTGGAAGACTAGAAAGGCGCTATACAAGTACAGGTCCATTTACCATTTATAACAACCTTCTTGTTATAAGAAACGTGCCATTGATGGGTTTTGCTGTTTTTCTGGTATGACAGCAATCTGCTGCTGTAGTTTCATCCCCTGCCTCTGTAATTTCAAATATTTGTTTAGAAATGATCTTATGAAGGTCTTAAGGATGTAGCTGTACAGACAATTAAACAACAAAGATTAGTTTTTAGGTTTCAGTGTTCAAGTTAAGCTTGAAGCTTGTGTTTCCAGCTGTTTTATTACTGTTGTTACATATACTGCACTGTTACTCTAAAACTGCTCTTGAGATATATGAATGTCTGTTTTCTACATTTCCTTTACAGACTCATGATCACTCAGTGTGCATAAGACCTCCACTACCTCCCTTCAATGTGACATCCCAGAATGCAACTTTCCAGCTCCAGGGATCCTTTGTAAGTTTCTCTGAGGTCTTCATCATACCGTTGAGAGTTAGTGAGTGATACTTACTGTTGTTATCCATTCTTATTTATTTTTTGTAGGCCTCCATCAAGGAACTCCAAGTGTGGCAGTCGCAGTTTAACTTCAAAACAAAAAAGCCCTCCTTCTTTGAGAAACTAACTCCACTGAAGGTAAAAGAAGCAGTTAGAAAAGATGCTTCCGACAAATCGTGGCACCAACAGTTTTAACACGTTGATGATTATTTCAGCTTGTTGATGGATCCTTCACCTTAAACCTAGCTGAAGATGAAGTTTACACGTTAACCACGATTACAACAGGACAGAAAGGAAGTTACCCAGACCCACCCCCTTCCGCCCGCTTCCCTAAAGTCTACAAGGACAACTTTGACATCCGTAAGTACAGCATGCACAGAATCCAAATGATTTTTGTTTGGTCATTGAATTCTTGGTGTGTAGGATTTAGTGCCATCTAGTGATGAAGAGCAAGAACAGGTGTACAGGGCACAGAGTGGGACTGACAGGGGCACCATTCACCCAAAATCAGTTTAGCATCAAAATGATTTCATTGTAAGGTAGAAAAGATGCATAATGTTAATTCAGAAAAAGAAGAAAAGAATCAGTTATATCAAGACAAATGATTTGATTCAAAGCACAAGCTTTCTCAAAATTCCTGACTTCCTGATTTATTTTCTGTACTGCGACCTGGTATTTTTGAATCATTGGAAAAAAAGGTCTTAATAGTCTCCATCCATCTTCCCATATCTCTGTATTTGACCTCCTGTAGGAAACCCCCCCTTCTCGGAGGCTCCGGACTTTGCTGACCAGACAGGGGTGTTTGAGTACTACATCAACCTGACTGACCCTGGACCTCACGTCTTCACCTTACGACAGGTTCTGACAGAGAGACCCGTCACATGGGCAGCTGATGCCGACCAGACCATCAGCGTCCTAGGAGACTACCAGTGGTGAATATAACTTGGCAAACATGCTAACTTAAAGCTAAAAAAAAAAAAATAACTTTTTGTCATATTTGCTGAAACTTTCCCTATATCCTGACAGTAGCACATGAGACAGATAATCTGTGAAAAAATCAGGTTCCTCTGGTTCCTCGTAATGACATTTTTATAAAAGTGAACTACTGCAGCTTTAACGGTCTAAAACCTCGTATTGTGAAGGATTTTTCTCCAACATAATATCACACTGTTACGTTACAGGCACGACCTGACGGTTACATGTGATGTCTTCATGGAGACCGTTAAGACCGGTGGGGTCTTCATAGCAGCCAGGGTGGATAAAGGTGGCCAGTCAATCCGCAGCGCTAAAGGAGTCTTCTTCTGGGTGTTTACAGATGGCACATACAAAGTTACCAATGATCTCGGTCAGTACTATCACCCTCTGCTTCATTATTAAAAACATTGTACCGGGTTGGGTAGGTGTCATTACTGTCTTATCAATGTGTGTTTGACTGTTTTGTTCTCTGCTTTTGTCAACAGCTGGACAGACTGTACTTGCAGAGGGACAGTCTGGTACCCGAGCATATGGTTGGCACACCTTATCACTCACTGTGAAAGTAAGTTGAGACTCTGTGTCTTAATGTTTGGAAATGTTTTATATTGACACTCATTTATTTGTCCTTTTCAAACCGTGTCCTTTTGGCAAAGTGAAATAATGATTGTCGTCTTGAAGATTAGAGAGATTGACTGCAACCAAATCAAGTGTGATGAGTGCTGATGAGATTAGATTAGAATTCAGATTGGGGCCTTTTTACTTTATCACCTCCTCAATTGACCCTTCTGCAATCCGGCCCCTTTTTTGCTCAGAACCTCGGTCATCTTTCTCCTTTTCCTTCAGCAATATGTTTTTTTCCCAGGAAGCGAAGTCATGATCCGCCCTACTCTGCCTCTGATTGGCTAATTCTGACCGTTTTTTATTATTATGTTATTGGTAATATTAGCAAAAGGCTGGCTAACTAGCTAGCTAATTTAAATGAATAGTTATTAAAGGATTTGATAACATTGAGTAACTTAAGAGGTGGCTTTATATGTCACGTTTATCTTTTAACCATCTTGAAAATGTGGAGGAGGAAGTTGACCAAGGTTCTGACTGAGGCTTGCTCAGTTCTTATTGGTGCACAGAACAAAAAGGGGTGGAACTAACAAGGGGTCAGTTGAATCACTTAAATTCTTTAAAGCCTGGACTCAAACATGCTTTTGGTGGAAATTATAGTTTATCAGGAACTCTGTGCACTCTGGGTTGTAGATGGTGGTATTACCTACCTGTGCTTTCCAATCAAAACAATGTGGCACTGTTAGAACCACATGAATAGTCTATGAACTGATTAGGGGATTGAATAGGTAACCATTTTAATTGATTTGTTGATATGTTTTGTTTTAAGCAAAAAAGCATATCAACAGCTCCTGTAATGTGAATATTTGCTGTTTGATAGTAAAATAAGTCAACTTGGGCTCAGAATTTCAAATGGGCATTTTTCAATATTTTTCACATTTTCTCAAGAAAACAATGAACAAATAAATTGATCATTAAAATAGTCATAAGTTCCAGTGAAGCCTTATTTTGGTAATATCTTAGTTTATGTTTCTTGATTAAACTTCTGTTGCCATGTTGTACATGTCAGATCACACTGTAAGTCCCACAGGTAAAGACACATAAACATAAGCAAGATTGTTTCCATAAATTGACTCAGGTTTTGCTGGTTGCTGAGCTTTGTATGAACTGAATGGGCTTGCAGTGATTGGCTGCTAATGGTTACAGTGTAATCACATGCTAACTGAACCTGCCACACCCATGTGACTGACTCAGGATGAGGAAGTCTATAAAGAGTCATACTGTATCTCATAAAGTGAATATGCGGATATACTCAAAGCATTTGCTGACTCACTGTGCCGCCGCTCTCCTGCAGGGCCAGTACGCCTTGGGGCAGCTGAATGGATACCCTCTGTGGAAGAACGCTGTGGTACTGACTCCAAAGAACGGCTGGGCAGCCATAGGAACACGCTCATTTGAACTGGCTCAGTTTGATAACTTTGCTGTGGTGGCAGGATAAGGATTGTACACTGTGCTGTGAATATTATGATTAATTTATTGACTTGATCAAAGCATTGATTTTAACACCATAGATGTGATTTTTTTTTTTCTCTTTATGAAAAGGTCTTACACAAGAATTAAGGAACAAGAGGGTACATAATGTAACATAAAGCACTGCACCTTTGAAAGTTCTATACAATAATTATATTGTAAATGATTTTGCATTTTGATCTGGTTTTTATGGAATAAAGAGATTTTTACGTTTTTGGGAAATAAAATTGTTTAATTATTAGAAAGCAATGTGTGTTGTATGGGTTGAAATGAAAAATAAAATAAAAAGTGCTAACAGTGGCTATTATTCATCTTTTTGAGAGTGTCATAGTTAAAGATGGTCTATTTTACATCTATTGATAGATGTAAAACTGCAGGGATAGTTTCACAATCATCCTACTGATCCAGGCACTTGTATGAGAAGGTGATTTCTAAAAATTACTTTTAAAGCTGCAACTAACTATATTTTTAAATTGACAATGGATCAAATAAAATGTAATGTGAAAGCAGTCACCCATAAGAGACAATTATAACCAACTCTGTAATGCAGTTCCACTCGCACTGAGATGTGTCAGCCTCTTCTACCACATTATTTTGGTTTTACAGCTTGCAACTTCACGCGCCTGCGTCGTGCGAAGACGCTTGCGTCGCAGGCGCGAGAGGGCCATCCCCATGGCAACGGGACACCAACAACACTTAACTTACTTCCAGCTGTGGACAGGCTGGCGGAGCCCAGAATGGAGAGACTTAAAGAATCGCCTAAAAGAGTTTTTATTAACAACGTAGACTCATACGCTTCAAAATGTATTGCCAAGGTAAATATATTTAATGGTGGAGCGTCAGGATGAAGCTAGTGGAGCTGCTAGCTAGCAGCTATTGAGCAGGACGTTGAGCTACTGCAGCACACGCCATAAGGAAGGTTAAGGACAGCTTTAACGTTAGTCACTAACATTAGTTAGTTAACGTTTGCGTCTCCCTGTGTCGCAGTTCCTTTCACAATGTGCGTTCGGAGCGCCTGTTGATGCTGAAGGAGAGACGGAGACTGAGGAAGAGGAGGAGGAGGGAAGAGTGGGTTCAAAGCAGAGCGGAGAAGGAGCTTTTCACGTTGTTGGAACTGTTTCTGAGGAAGCTGACGAGGGCAGAGCTGCATATGTGGTGGACGAGTATTCAGTGAGTGCTTCATCATTCAGAACCGTCCACTAGCACACATTGTCTGATGTCTCATATTTCTTGTTTGTGTGCCAGAAACTGAACAGGGAGGAGCTACTTGCAAAACTGATGAGTTGTGATGTTGTTATTTACAACATTACCCAGCATGCCGATCAGGTAGAAGAAGCCTCCTGGGCTGTTTCAGGTAAGCAGTTGATGGCTGTCCCGCATGTGACGGTGAAATAAAGATGATTAAAGTCATTATAATGAGAAACTTTCTCAGAGTAATCACTTAGTATCTCAAAATACTGACAGTATGGAACACAGTGTTTAATATTCCTCCCTGTCAGAAATGAATATTATGATATTGATGATAAGATTCATTCAGGTAGTATTGGTCTTTCTGAGTGTAATACTGCTTTAACTCTTTTTGTACCTCATATTTTAACCAATTTGAAAAATGTCAATGGATTTTTGCGTAGCTCTGCTTGTACTTTATGAACTGTAAAGGAAATAAAAATGATAACAGATTGTCAGCAGGCAACACATGAGCAAAACCTGAAAATGATTGCAGTGGTAAACAATAATTAGATGTAATGACACCATAACTAATGACTTGTGTTTTCTTTGTAGCCCTCCACAATGAAATGAGCCATTTTTCTAAACCGAAGATGTTCATCCTCGTCTCCACGGTGATGACCTGGGCTTGCAGCAAGTCAGTGGATCCTGTAAGCAGACACATACAGTGCTTCTGGCCAGCCTCGTGTTATTTATTTGTGTAACATGGATCTATTTTTCTGACCAACAGCCACATAACCAAAATATGTTAAAAATCTGATTCCTCACTCTAGAAAAAGTTTGTATTTTAAAAATCAGTTTTCAAAATGTTTAAGTAAAATGATTTTCTTTATTTTCTGTCAATAATATTCTGATACAACTTCATACATCTGAGTAATCTGTAAACAGTAATTGCCTTTTCAGTAACTACATCATATATCTAACAATATATGTCACTTATTTATTACAGTAAACCAAATAAATGAGTGTTTATTTGTAAGTGTTCCAGGTCTGTTTGCTCACCAACCCTGGCCATTTCAGATTTATGTTATGTTATAACAGGATGATGATCCTTTCACTGATGAGATTTTCTGGAGAAGGAAAGCACATCCCAACTTCAAACAACACATTGACCTGGAGAAGAGGGTGGCCAAAATGGGCAAAACTGTTAGTTTCAAATTCAACTTAATTGTTACATTTCACACAGGAGACACATTCATTCTATAACCCTGTCACATGGTTGTTGCTTTTAGAACATGAAGTTGTTCTCAACATACGTGGTGGCGTCGGGACTTCAGTATGGGATGGGAGAGCAGACCTTCCACTTCTTTTTCAAGGTGAGGTTTGAAAACTGCTGTAGATAGCTGCTTTGACTGCCAGCAAGATCCATTTTTATTTCCCCAGTATACATACATCTCTATCACTAAAATTACAAAAATGTAATTTTGTCATAGTGTTCATTTTCATGAGTGTTAACTGTTAAGTGTAGACATATATGTTTTACAGCTTTCTCTTCCATGTAGCTGCCAGTGTTGCTGTTTGTTTGTACGTAGATATGCTATATGCTAGGCTAATCGATGGTGAAAAGACAACCACATTTTGAAGATGGTTGTGTCGTGTATCAAAATTATCTTCAGGACATAAGACAAACAACTTCTCTCAGTTCTCGCAGAAGTTTATTTAGAATTGTATAAT